TTATAAATTGATTATTAGCAATTTGATTACCAATTGAAGTTTTTAGAATCTATTCCTATCTCTAATTACAGCATTATGGCTAGAGATATCACCCAAACTATTTCAGCATTGTTTTAATATTTATAGCCATTTTTAGTTAGAATTCAGACTTTTGTAAAACCTAAATACAATCCCAAATCCAAAATACTGTCCCAAATCCCAAATGCCTAAATTCTGATGATAAAATTTTTGCTTTTAATTTAATAAAGTATAATGATTATTTTAATAAATAATGATACCTCAAAAATATAATGACACTTCTAATTAATATAACAATACTTTTAATAAATATAGTATCACTTTTTAATTAATATAACTAATAATGATTCTTTTAATAATATTTGTCGCGAATTATGATGAGATTTGGATGATAGTGAGATTAAGAACTCTTATTGGTTAGGGATAGGGTGATCTGCAAAATTTAGCCAATAGGATTTTCTAATCTCACCATTATCTGAATCTCACTATAATTTACGACATTTATTATTGTTATATTATTATAGTTTGGGATTTTATTTCAACCAAATTCTAAACTAGTTTTAGCTATTTGGGTTTGGTCACATGCCAAAACTATCAGGTTTAGGTGACTTCTCTAATTACAGTATTGCAGCATTATAGCATTATGGCTTTACAGTATTGCAGCATTACAGTTTATAGTATTTATAGCAAAATTGCTATTTAGTGCTGTAATAGCATTTTTTCTGAAAATCAATTACAGCAGCAACTATAGATATTCAAGATAAGATGCAAGCTTATTAACATAAGAGATTTAGGTTTATACTTAAGATATTCTTTAAATTTTAGTTTAGTTTGTTAAAGTGTATTTTGGTTTATTGATTATAGATATGAATTTGGGTTTACAGATAATAGGTTTAGTGCTCAAGCACTTTTTCTTCTCTATATGTATCTATCTATTTACTGTGCATATATTTCAATATAATTATCAAAAATTAAGTATTAACAGTCAAAAATTAAGTATTAACGGTCAAAAATTAAGTATTAACAGTTAAAAATTATGTATATTCTTTTTAATATGTTTATAATACAGTAAAAAATATATATATATTAAATTTCTATGATTATTATAAATTTGGGAGTGATTCTTCTACCCTTAATCCTAGTTGAGCATGAACTAAACTAATATGACCTCGTCTACAATCTAATGATGAAGAAGGAATTGTTATTTGGATTTTTTTTGGTTTAGAGAGTTTGGTTCAGATATTTAACTCATGAGCATCATTTAGGTCTTGTCAAGGGATCATAGAAACTATTGATCCATGTGCATCTCTTTTGACCCCATTCTCAAGATCACTATAAACTAAAGAAAAGTCTTGCAAATGATAAAAAAAGGTACAATGAACAAAGTAAACAATACTGTACTAGATCTCTCGAGTTACTAGAAAATTTTTATAGAGAAGGAGACATGAGGAAAAGGCAACAACTTGTCTAGGCCTAAGAGGTATTATGATCTGGAGATGCGGAAAACGAAGTTTACCTCCCTCAAAATCACCAAGAGCAACTAAACAATATAGACTATTCGGGTCATCATGTTCATTCTAATGATAATCACTAGTTATGTTAAAATTAATAGCGATCATTGAGAAGATTCTAAAGAGTTGAGGTGCAAAGGGTCCCTATACCAACTTTTCTAGTTTTTCATATAGACTACTATAAAATTCTCATACAAACTCATTAATAGAAGTTGTTAGTGGGACAAGATTGCAAAGTAAAGTATCAACTATTCTTGGTGCTTGATATTATGGGTACTTGCAGTATTTGAACTAGTAAAAAGGTGAAGGTTGTTTCGTATATATATACCAAAATGTTCTATGAAATTCTTCCGGAATTTATTACTATGGTATGAGGGGTTTTTTAAAGTATGAAAATAATAATAATTTACAGCATCTATTGCTTGCACAACTGCCTTTGAATTATTGAGTAATGCCAGATATATTAAGGTTTGCTCATCTGTATCAGTAATACATTCTGGCTTTACAATATACTGAAATTGTACTAATTCTTTTAGTAATTGAAGTTTACCTTGTACAGAAATTATCATTTAGGTCTTTTTTTTCGAGAGATATATGAGGTTACTATATTTGAAGAATTTTTTTTTTTTTTTTTTTTTTTTGTTATTAAGGTGGCTTACATTACTGAAGGAATTTTATTAGAATTGTCAACAGGATTATACATTGATAATTCCTACTATTTGTAATTACATGAAGAGTATACAACAAGCTACATGTACAACTTTAGTCATTATTTAATTTAAGTAGTCCGCTGCACAGGCAATTAGACTACCCAATTGGTTCTATACTATACTGCTATACCTGTAACCCGCCTGTGAGTTATCTATTTAAGCACTCTATTCATTAACTCATACAGATTCAACCTAATATCATCACAATACCTAACCACTTAAGCTAGCTGGCTTGTTACGAATCTATTTATCCAGAATAGTTTATGTCCTATCAGAATATATTGTACCTAATATATTGTAGATACTACAAAGCTAGTTAACCTTGAAGCATATCTACTAGAGTAGTCTGTACCTATTTTACAGATTTACCTAGCCTAGACCCTTGTAGATATTTGTACAACCCCAGTTCCTACTGTGGCTCTCTAGCAGTTTTCTGTATCTATCTTCTCAGATATTTCACAAGACAGATCCTCCTAATCTAGTTAGTCGCCAAGCCAGGTTGGTATTACTGATCCTTTATGTAGAACAGATTTATGTATACCCAACTCGATCTGCATTTTTCATCAATAGTTTTCTTTCTGAATTAAGTGTTAATATTTGAAGAATTTTGTAATTCTATATGATTTCAAATTTCTATAGCATATTTAAGTTTTTTCTACTTACATTGAAGATGCTGACACACATCTCTTCTTGTAAGTAGTTCTTCTATTCCTAACTATTATCCAAGAGAGAGCTACAATTGTTCATTCAGATTTTTGGTTTTAGACTTAAAATAATTGACCTTAATTATTTCATTATTAATAAACACTAGAAACTCGAGTGGGATCTCGGATAGCTTAATACTATTTAATACAGCTTCTCAAATTAATGTTTCTATTAATAATTCTTCTGCTGAAACTTTTTCTTAGCTTTTAACTTCTTTTAACAATGCTATGCAATCAGATGGACAAAGAGGGACACTCTTCCACTCTTTTTCTATGTAAAATATTTTGTCTTGTATACATAAACCTCGAGTTGCATATTGGGTTCAATGCTAATAATTAATAACACAAAAAAAAAAATAAAATTATTAGTAAGCTTATTAATAGGTTTGGATGAGTTTTTGAATTTATTCTCTTCTACCTAATATTTTTGTAGACTGGATTAGCCACCCTAACTAATTATTGGGTTATTAAAATAATAACCATATATCTGTTAAACCACAAATATACTCAGTAGAGGCTCTATCATTTTAATAGTAGAAATGAAATTTTTTGCATAACTGAGTATATTCAATAATAGCTCAGAAAAGTTAACTGATCAACACAAAAACAATCATAACAGTAAGGAAAAAAAAATCTCAATAATTTTATAATTTTAAATAATATATACTCAGTTTGGATCAAAAATAATGTTATTAATTGTTAATTCTATAATTGGTATAGTAGGTATAGGCAGTGTTGTCAGTGGACATGGATATGAACATAGACCGTCCATGGACATGGACATCCATACCTATGGACAAACAAAAAGCTATGTTCATGTCCATAGACAAATGCTATATATTTAGGAATTAATAAAATCAATCCATAAAATCAACGCCATTGCTATCAATAAACATGAATATTAACTCAAATATGTTGTACGTCAAATTAAAATTTGTATATGATCAAAATTTAAATCATAAATTTGATTAGAGTGGAAGTCTATGTTAGAGCAAGAGTGAAATTTAAGACTTTAGGAATTTTCATAACAAAATTTTTTTAGCCAATTAGATTTCTTGCTAACTAGCCAATAGCATGCTTGGATAGTGGATATTGTCTATGGACATGGCTATGGACATATGTCTATATCCAATCATTTTATTAGACATTTGTCTATGTACATTACTTATGCAGAATGATCATATGGACATGGATATTGGACATTGTCCATGGACGTCCGTGTCTAACGATTCGACTTGGACATATGTCCATGTATATCACTGGGTATAGGCTCATTATGCTCCACTGGTAGGATCGAATTTTGTTCCTTTTTGAGTTTACATTTTTTATTATAATGAATATGACATGACAACTTTTTGGTTGGCTTCTCTTGGGACATACTAACAGGGTTAGAATTTTCATTTTCATTTTTACACTTCTCAACAGACACTTGCATTGTTTCTAAATTACTAATAGGTTGAAAATTTTAACGATATATAGCGAAGCTTGTAAGGCAGAGATATATTATGAAATATTATGAAACTAAATTATGGATGCCTACACTGGGATGAAATCCTTTTATTAAAAATGCGATTATATTATATGCCGCTATGTGACAATTTGCAAAAATAGTTGATATGACCATCGACAAAAAAAACACATGTGGTTTTATTTACGTTATAATAATAATCACTAGCAAACAATTGCATGTTTGCTAAATTCAGCACCACGATTATTCAACACAAATTAACTAACAATCTCATATCGCTTTATTTGGTGATAAAATAATTTAACATGATAATTGCTAACAGATAATTGCATAACAAATAATTGCATGTCAGCACCACAATTATAGAACACGACAAATTAACAACAATCACCTGTAACTTTGTTTACTTGATATGATAATTGCTAATACGTAGTCAATTACATATTTACTAAATTTGGCATCACAATTATTGAACACGACATTAACACACTAAAAAAGCTCGATCATATTTGTGAAACGTAAATTTGTGAGAATGTGATTTAATAATTGCGCCATAATCCAAATATAGCTAAAAAAAAAAAAGGTGATCAAACGTATTACGAAATTGATCGCATTTTATATACGTTGTAAGGGGCGAAATTGCCAACCTCGATACTGCGCCCAGTTCAGAAGGTGATCATCAAAATTTTCGAAATTTCGAAAATTTCGAAAATTTCGAGAATTTTGAAAGTTTGGCAAATCGTAAAAATTAAATAAATTTCGGAAAACCAAGAAATTTGGGAAGATTACAAAT